TGTTCTACCTCCCCTGTCATTTTCAGTAGATTCAAAAGAATAAACATCTTCCACAGCTAGTAAATCTCAAAGCCTCTATCAATGTGTGGGAAATAAGTGTTGCCTCAGACACACTTACCCTAGGATGGGATTATTGCTTAAAAATGATAATATTGTGGAATAATCCTTTTGTAAGTATTGTTTTATAAGAAGCCATTTTTAGAAAAAAACTTAAGCAAGCTGCAGGTATAAACCTTTATTTCAACTGTAGTAACTGATACTTTAAGCTTTAAAGTCTGTAATTCCACATAATACCAAAATTGATTCATGCCTGTGGTTTGAAATAATTTTTAATAAAAAGACATTAATTTAAATTTTTTCTTATTATTTAGAAGTAAAGAATGCAGCTAGATCAAGTTACCCAAAATGTTCATATCAATTCAAGAATGCAACTACTAATGCATTGGTTGGTGCCAAGTCCACTGAAGGAATCCCGGAACCTGTTCCACTTGTTAATAACCGTAAAGGGAGCCTCTTCCTACCCAACAACCCCTCGCTGCTGCACCTTAACTTACTGAGTTCTGTTGAACAAGGAAAATCTACGTACTGTAGATTGCAAAGGGCATTCAGCTTGCCTGTAAAATACCGCTACCACTCCCAAAAGCCTGGGTTGAACCAAGATCTCCGTAGGTAGCCCCATAGTTGGACACATAAGGCAATACAGATTGGTTTGTGCATGGTTTTGCAGCCTGTTTTCCATGTGACTGTGACATTACTAATTCTCTGTTAAGTGCTTACAGATGTGGGATTCTCCAGATGCAGTGATTAATAAGTTAATTGAGATAGCTAGTCAACTAATGTTTCTGGGTGGTTTGTGCTTTATCTTTCATATGTTTTTTTTGCTCTGAAGCATTTACATGCCAGGTAGAATGAGTTTACCAGGTATTCCAGTGTGATGCTCAGTAACATAGGTTTTATTTAAAATTACAGCTCTTTTGGGGCTCTAAAAACCAGTGTCTGTAAACTATACTGCTAGTGACCTGGGAGAGGCAGTGAGGGAGACAGATTTATTTAAAAAATAGTAACAAAATAATAAAGAAGAAAGTTATGAACTTGTCCACTGTTTCTGAAAGACATTCCCTTTATTTTGCTTTAAAAATGAAATGAGGATAAAAGTCAAGTAATATGTTGTTACAGATGTTCAGCTCCACATTAAGTCTGTTAAAATTACCAGCACATCTTAAATCAATTCATGGAACATTGTCTGGAGGTTATGTCATTGAAATAATGAATTCTCTTTACTCAAGAATAAGCAAACATGTTAAAACATCAGTGTAACTTTAAATTAAACTCCAGCATAAACCAGAGCATCTGAAGCCTCATTAGACTCGCCTGACATTTTTCTAGCACTGAGTCTTCCTGAACTGCAAAACCGTTAGATTTTCTGCCTATTAGACAAGTGAGAACTAGGTTGTTACAACAGTGCATTAAGTGTTATACTTAGGGATGTGAAAACCAGCTCTTGAATTTTATTAGAACTCAGAAGCTGGGCTGATTTCTGATTCTATAAAATTCTGTGTCCAATTCTTGAACTTATTTGCAGTTTTCCTGAAAACTGGTAAAAAAAGTTGACATAATAGACTATTTTAATACAAATCATGTAGCATAAAGATATCAAAAATACTAAAAATAGGGACTCATTTTCATTAACAAAATCACTACGTCAAACATAACATCAGAGTTGAGTTGTCATATATCACAGCCCAATATTCAAATATGGTTGTCTTTCATAAGAACAAGGAAATTTAAGACTCCCTTTTAAATTAACACAGACATAAGAACTATGAAACTAAAATGATATTTTATGTCTTTACTAAAAAATTTTCTAGATCTGTTTCTTTAAATATGGAGGAAATTGATTAAAATATTTGAAGGCCAATAATTAAGTATGTTTTATAACCTACGTACTACTAAGAAGCCACTCGTGAGTTATCATTGCAACACATATGTGAACGAAGCCATAGGTAATGGTGTCCATTGTATACCATTCACATATTTCACCTTCATGGCTTCCCTTCCCCAATTCTTATGGAGCTGTGTTTCCAAACTGCAGATGCCCTGTAATCTCTGTGCACAGATTTCATTGAAGAAAATCTTGTTTGGATGTGATATGATTAGGATAGATCACCTTTTATTGCTGCAATGGGAATAAATAACAACCTTTCTTAAGCAAGGCATTGCTTTAGTGACAAATTGAGATTCCTCAGAATTCTTTGCTAACAGGTATTAACTAGTGAGCCACATTAACCTTGGACTTTCCAGGCAATTGATGACGGTAACACAGTTTGAATATGACAAGAACATAGCAAAAGAGGGAGTTTATTTATTGTAGATGCAGTACCAAAAATAGGTGCAGACTGCTAGAAATTTAGTTCCAGACACTGTTATTCTGGATGATTACTAGTAAGACTTTGTTTTTTAATTGTATGGCAGGGTGGCATCACCTGGCAGCACTGCAGAACACAAATGTTGGACCATATAGTACAAGATCCTTATTGTATTAACTTTCAGTGTTTGAAAGAATCAGACAGGAGTCTTATTAGCTAGATGAAAACATGGAAAAATACTCTTTTTTTAATAGTGTTTTATATTGTTCATAGAAATATTTCTGGCTATATTACAATCTACAGTTGACTTCTGTTAATGTAAGATTTTGCCCATAGTCCTGATGGCTATATATCTTCCTTAAACTGTTAAAAGACCATAACACTACACTTACGGTGCAATGCTGAATCTCTTGACAAACATTCTGTAACCCCATGGTAGCAGATTAAATTAAGTGAACTTTACAATTTTTACTACTGAGAGAGCAAAACATATCAGTTGTAGCTGGTTTCTGGAAGGAACATTTTGCATGGATCTTGTTCCTTTGATCTTTTAAGTGGTGGATTCATCAGATTGGAACTGAATATTTATATCCTATAAAGAACAAGAGAGCACAGTGGATATCTTAAAAGCAATGTATTGTCTGTGTGGAATACCATGCGAATAACTTTTTGATAGACAAGTTTAAAACAAGACAAAACCATTTCCAAGAGAGTGTTTTGCAGAGGGTGTTTTGAAATGCACACATACTTGCACTTTGTTATAATCAGAAGTAGAAAGATATTCATAACAAAATAATTCTGTGCATACTCACTTCATGTTACAAATAGCTAAATACAGAAGTGATCTAGTTTAATCTGGACAAACTGTCACAGAAAGAAAATTTCAATTTGTATATTTTTGAGAATTTTCTATGGGTTTATTTATCTCTCAGCTAAACAAAGAATGGTACTTGACTAATCACCAATAAGCATTTCCACTACAGGACTCTGACTTGAAAAAAGAGAGAAGTCAAATCAGAGGTAAATGGCTTTGTCTTTGGGGGTGCTGCCCAAGAAGAAAAGGAAGTTAAGTTAGTTAAATAGATCATTACTAGTCAGTCATTGCTCTATTCTAAGTATTGTCTTTTACAGCACTCTTTGGGACATTTATTTTAGGGTTAGCTTTTTTTGTTTGATTGTTTTTTCTTTTGCAAAGCTTTCTTTTCTTTTGATTCCGTTGATGTGTTAGGTCATGCCAGGTCATTTAAAAAGCACATCTGTCCTTTCAGTGCCCAGTCCTTTGGTCTTGATCAAGGCAAAATGAAGTTCCATAGCAGACTTGGGCAGACAGACAGACATGACAGGCTAGAATGCAGTCTGTAGTAAAATAGTGCCAGAAGAGGGTTATAGAAGAAGGATATTGTTTACATTCTTCCCATAAAAGTCGAGGGCAGGTGACATATATCCAGGTTTTGTTGTAGTTCCTATGTAGCTAATTGCAAATAGATTTTTTTTTTCCAGCCTCTGATTGTGCACTGCTAATGTGTATTAATCTCTTTTAATATAGCTACTGCTACTGCTAATCTCTTTCCTTTTAGCTTTAAAGTAACAGTTTCCAAGGCATCAGTTATATTTTCTAGTTAATTTTTCAGTTAGCAATAGGATGGGGGAAAAGATGTATTTTTCCTTCTTTATATTAGAATAATTCAGCATTAGTGTGAATTTGAGAAAGCTGGCATAAGATAATTCCCTTTGATAGCACATGTAAACCTTATGCACAGATTATCAAGTGCAGTAACAATCTTGAAACAGTAAAGATGATGGTTAATTCTTATATATTATTAGTTATTAGGAAGCTGCACTTGTTCAAGCAATACATATTGTGACACAGGTTGTCCAAGAGTAGTTTATGATTGGCAAAACCATAACTGGTTTTACATCTGGAAATTGATCTGTCATTGAAAATGCACCTCATCCTCATTAGAAGATTGCATAACACATGCATCCTCTGTTATACAGGTATTGTCTCCCCACTTCCATTCAACCTCATTCTGTTCACTTCTGTCAAAACTCGCTTTTGTGAGAAGGGTAGAGCGATGAGGTCTGTCTCGTGCTGGAGACCTGTACACTATAGCAGGCTGCGTTCACATTCCTGAATAACTGAATCATTGAACATCAAGGCATTGAATATTTTACATCTCTTCATGAAGACTCTGTTGTTTGGCATGTGAGGAGCAAGAACCAACTGGTGTCTAGTTCATTAGCAAAAGCAGGCTGGCAGCTGTTATGTTGGTATTGCAAATAGTACTTTATTTTTCTGGGAATATAGCAGAGCACTAATTCTACTTTTCTGTAGCACAGATTAACTGAAAATAACTCTAAGAATAACCCGAATGTGGTTACCCCCCACTTTGTTTTTGAAGTATGAAACCAATTTGAACGTCTGTGTTCAAAACCCTGGTATTCTTCCCTGCTTCTCCTTCAAACCAATCTCTTCAACTAACATGTATTTGATTTTTATTACTGTTGGGCCTATGTTAGCAATGAAGTATCAGTGCGTGAATGGACATAGAGTGTGTGTTCTTTGCTACTTCACTTGTATTTCATATTCCACTTAGAGCAGTACTTAATCTCATGAGTTCCTTATATTTCCAGTTGAAGATGAGCAGCCGTCGACACTATCACCCAAAAAAAAGCAGCGAAACGGAGGCATGCGAAATTCACCCAACTCCTCACCCAAACTGATGAGGTAAGACTGTAAGACACTCACATCTTCATCTCTTTTCTTCCTTCCTTCCTATTCTCCTCCCCCCACATCAAAAATAAGGGGAGGGGGTGGAAAAAAAAAAAAGATTGTTAGATGGTTTCTGAAAGGCTGAAGTATTTATTCTGTCAGCTTGTCAGCAGTTAATGATAGAGCTGAAAAAAATTCTGTCATGAAAAACAGTTTGAAAAGCTGTTTGAAAAATACATAGGCTTTAAAGTCTTAGCTGTCACCCTGTCCTGTCCGTGTGTAGTTCTTAAACAGCAGTGGCACTAATGATAGCACTAACCAATCAGGGGAACTCATGTGGTTAGTTTGCCTGAGGCAATTCTCTTTTTGTTGGATTCCCTCAGAGTACTGTTTTCTGTACTTAAGGCCATATGTGAGATGTATCATCACAATCAAAAATGAACCTGAATATTACCTTCCTTTTATCCTGTCGATTGAAATCAAATTTCTGTTAATTGATTTAGACTGATAAAAAAGTCTAATAATCTATGTACTTGCCAAAGCAAAGTTCAAAACTAATGCAGTTTTACTCAGGCTAAAAGCACATTAATTATGAAATACAAGGATTTTTAAGAGGGCAGTATATACTCTAAAAGAGGGTGATGAAAACATCATCTTGTTAGTGGTATTTTTCCCCTGCTGCCTATGTGTGCATTGTATTACACCGATATGCCTTTGTATAGGTACGTAGTTTCTTTCCATAGGACAAATTACCTCTAAGATATTTGTTAAAACTTGAACTGCAACAAGAACTTGGAATCTACTAAAATAATATGACTTCTGCATTCTGTCTCACTGTGCTTCACCTTCTGCCTGCTCCAAGTCAGTCAGAAGAGGATCATATGGCAGATGTGGAGTTTTCTACAAGGAGGCAATTCCTGCTCTGGTTTTGCATATCTAAATAGCCAGTCTAGAACCTCAGTCCATAATTGTATCCAGAACTAAATATCATAGCAGAGATTTTACACTGCATATATATTTATGCATACAGAGAAAATGTAAACTTATTTACATATATAAACACAGACATTCATGCAGTTTCGGGTTAGGATGTATGTATAACTGTAACTGCTCTGCAGTAACAGAGGTTAAGTGAAAAAAAATCATATGAATATATGGTTCTTTCCATATGTAAAATCACTCATTGCTTTTCTTTTACTGTTGACAATGATTTTGTTCATTTAACAATTCTGGATACAGCTAGGTATTCCTCTTTGTATTTCAGTTGGTAGACTGGAATTTTCTTTGGCCAGTTACAGAAGCATCTGTATTTGTTTATTGTTATTGCAATATAGGGCATATTCAAGGACATAACTTCTACAAGTCGTCTTCATCTCTGTGTAGACTACAGAACCAAAAGTGAGATTGATTCACAGAGGAAAATGCACCCAGCTGTGGATTTTTTTTTTCATATTGACCATCTATTTCTGTTAAATGTATCATTAAAAGTTCTTTGCCTTCCTGTTAGCTCAGCAATGCCCATATGACACTGATTTACATGCTTGTTTACAGTTTATGGGGAAGAATAAAATGAACATACTGGCAAGCTTCTCATTTTTATGGTGCCAGTTGTCATGCTAGCATAATTTTCAATTTACTTACCTTTGGACGGCCTTCTTATCTGGTGCTAATAGTTTTAACCACTTAAAGTTTTAAACATGTGGGAGATTCTGCCCCCCCCTCACCAAATCCTTTTTTGGGGGAAGTAGAAATAAAAAGAAAGGAGGGAGAGAGAAAAAGAGCTGTAACATTTGGAGCTGAGCACACTGTCCCTGTTTGCTATGTAAAGTATGCCTCATTTCTTTGATCTTGAGTAATAATAATTCTGGGGAGTTATACTGTTTTCATATGCTTCAAAGCTGTGTCAAAGTTTTGCTGCTTAAGGGTACTTCTTTATTCTATTGGCTCTTGGGTACTGAGATGACAGGTCCTCTGTACTAGGTGCAGGCTTTTTCAAGTCATAGCCTTCAGCAAAACATCAAATTACCAAATACAGGGTAACATACTTCTACACAAATGCCTTTCCTGTAGATATATTATACCATATATATTAAATACTTTAGTGTTACACAGTACATTTTATGTGCAATAGAAAGTGATGGTTTGAGGTAGCCTTAGGGGTACTTTTTTCCACAAGCAGAAAAAGCTAGTGTATACCGTATCAAGTATGGTTTTTACAGGACTTTCAGCCCGAAGGCCTTTGTAAATAAGTAATGATCAACAGATTGGCTGTGGGTTTTTGAAAAGCATGCCTGTGTCAGTTTGCATGATGGGGGAAGATTTTCAAAGTAGAGCCTGCTTTCATTGCCTGCTGAAGAGGGACTGAGGGAGAGTAGTCGTCCTGAGCCTGAGCTGTCTGCTCAGTAGCACATCAGAATTGCTAAACACAGGTCGAGCAACGAGTGGAGAACTTGCTATGCTTCCAAATCCAGACATTGTTTTCTTCCTCTTCTCCCTTGCTGCTAAATTTATTCACCAGCCCCTGTTGGCACCCTCAGCCTCTCCCCAGACCCAGCTGTCTCTTTGTCTAACCCTTTATCTACACTGACGTAACTTTGGTTCAAGGTGCTAAATAAGACAAAATGGATTGAATCAGAAGAGAACTCTGTTAAGCTTTGTGTGTAATGGCCAAACACTTTTCTCCTTTTCGATAAACAAAGATGGGCTGTATTATCTGCTATTTTGTATTCTCGTAAATTACCTAAAGTGACAGGTACTTGCTTTCCTGCCCAGAAATCTTTAGGGTATGTCAACTAAAAGTACCCAAGAGGTAAATCAGCTAAAGCACTGTCATGTCTGTAGCTGGTATTTATCTTTGCAATATTTTTCCTAAATTTACTTTAAAAGCTCCTTTTCAAAGCCAGCTTCACCCCTGGCCCTCCCACAGAAACAGCTAGCTACTTCGCAGACTTTTCCTCAGCTGTGGTCCTGGATCTAGAGGGGGCCTGGAGGACAAGGAGACTGGAGCATATAAAGGAGGAATATGTGAAAAGTTCATTTATAAATTGTTATCAGAGTTGTGACTTTAGAATCACTTTCTGAGCAGCCCTACAGTTAAGACAATGTTAGAAGTGCTGCATAGATTTTAGATTTCCACAGTGGCTGGGGCAAATCAGGGAAGAAAGTATTATGTCATGAGATAAAACTTTGTGACTTCTGCTATCACTGGAGTAGAACAGAGGACAGAAGCTATATCATAGGGATTCCCCAAGACATCATGACAAGAAGTCTGACGTGCTTATTTAGACATGATCAGGAAGTGGGAATTTTTGAGATTTATTCACATGTCAGTAGAAAGCTGTATCACCAAATATGAGCTGGATAAATAGATTGAAAACATCTTTTCAGTGTCATCTTTTTGATGTTATTGTTTCTAAATGCCAATAAATTACTAACTGAAATAAATAGATGGTAGACATACAAATGTTCTTTATATACATTACAGATGGTCTAGATTCACATTTAGAAAGTCACTGTTCTAACTAAATCCTAAATCGCATCAAATGACATGAGCAGAATCACATTGATGCAATACTGGAAGAATCTAATCAATCATAAACAAATCCTTCAAGTTCCAACTGTAGCTACAAATGCAAATTAACTAGAAAGATACTCTGAGTTGTCATGATTATTTCTATCTGATTTACATCAACAGAAGTCTGTCCCATTAAACCCAGAAAAAAACATGGGTATTATTTAAAAATAACTTAAACTCCAAGAGGAAAAAGTGGATACTTCTGTGGAGATGTGAACACAAAGACATCCTATTACAATAAAAAGTACAATTTAAATAGGAAGGGGAAGGAAAAGGATGGAAAGCTGTGAGTAGCAGAGTAATCACATATCAGGTCTCCATCAGATGATGGAGAAGAAAAGTAAAACCATTTGATGCCTCCAGTGTCATGCGGTGATATCAAGTCACCTGTTCATCATCTCACAGTCACAGGTTTTGATGCATGTTATTGATGAACAGCCACATTAAATATGAGGAGACTATGTTGCCTAAATATCAAATAGCAAAGCTAGTTTTTAAAAAAGTGTGTCATTTTGGATTCCAGAATGACCAGTAAAAATGTGAAAAACCCTGGTTATGAATCAAAAAAGCCACTTAAAAGATTGTTGTTGGGGCTCAAGTCTGCACTTAATGCTTTGGTAGCTGCTACTGCATGAGTGGAATACACTGACTTGAAGGAAATGTCAGCCCAGCTGAGTCAAACTACCTCTTAATGAAAGAACAAATAGCATATGACAGGGCCCAAGGGGCCTGAAGAGCAAACAAATAGTTTGTCCCTGTCCACTCTGGATGTAGTGGTGTAGTTGACATAAGCCTCTAGACAAGCGGCATACTCAGCAAAGGGTCATTATCATTAGTGTCCCTGATCACATAAGAATCAGAGGCATCAGAGGACATTGGGTTTTCAGTGTGTTGCCAAGGAGAATTTAGTAAGCCTGAGGATTTTTCTTGATCAAGGATCTAAAATAATTCCCAAGCAAACCATAATATTTGCTCAGAGACTGTCAAGACCTGGCTAAGTGACACAGAAAAAGTGAGCTTTTTGGCATATGTTTCTAGAAACCTAATGAGATTATTTGTCTGAAATAGAGCGGGAAACCTCCTGGGTTTTTTTCTGTGAAATCAGATATAATATTCTAAGTATATGAACAATGGCTATGCACATTTATTTCCTCATCCACCCACCCAGCTACATACACTCAAGTATAGACACACATTTCTAAGTGTACACACACATTTCTGCTAGTGCCACTTAGGATGAATTTGTATTGCTCCTGCCATTTTAGTGCTGCCCTTCCACGAGCTAAAACTGTGAGCTTTCTCATAGGAACAAAAAAAAAAAAAAAAAGTGATGAAAGGCCTAGAGGGGAGCATTTTTCAGGCAAAAACTGGTAAAATAATTTCAATCTGATCATTTTCCATGACTCCCCTAAACCAGGCATGAAGGTAAGTTTTGAAGAGG